CCCTGGTGGGCTGAGCTGGCCACACACACACACAAAATAAATAAATAAATAAATAAATATTTAAAAAAGAATTCTAGGAAGGAGTTGGGGAAATAGCTCAAGTGGCGTAAGTACCTGCCTGGCAAGTGCAAGGTCCCAAGTTCAATCCCCAGTACCAAAAAAGAAAAAAATAGTTTAGTAAGAATTTTTTCAATAAAAAAGATTTAAAAAATGTATTTTTAAAGTATGCTGAGGTTTTTACTGAAAGCCAAAAGAAATTATTAATTTTCCTTGATGAGATTTCATGAAAAGACACATGGATTCCACTAACAGGACATCAACTTGCAGGCTGTCAGCAAACACACCTGTAAAGTTTTATCCTCTAAGGTCTCCCATAGTTTGGTCCTAATCAACAGCTATCTAACCAAGAGCGATCTCCACACAGGATGTATTCTTTCATGCTGAGCCTCTAGAACAAAAGGTTATCTTCAGGCAAACACCAAACACATCAGTGAAAGTTCAAAGACCCAAGCCACAGCTCATTCCCAGGCTACGAAGCAAGTGTCTTGAAGCAAGGGAGCCCAAAATCAAAGCCATCATTGTCTATGGTGAACGCATAGGGGCTCTAAAAAACTCAACAGAACACAAGAAAATTACAAAGGGATAGTACAGGCATATTACACATTACTCTAAATAAAACTGGTTCCTATCTTTACATTTACAGTTAAGCATATTCCGAGATACAGTTTACTACTAGACATATTATGCCAAACTAAAAATGTAGTTATTGTCAAAACCAGAAAAACGGGGAAAAACATGATGAGCTCAAACTGAGAAAATTATGTGACTCAATGTATAATTCTCCAGCCAGTGTTCACCTATTTATTTGAATTATATTTGAATAATGTTTTTAAAAACTACATAAAGGTTGCAAACGGGAGTGATAGAAATAAACATCTGTGTCATGTTCAACCTAAATTAATATTTTTAATTACATTTACATGAATTTTTTTTTTTTTTTTTTTTTTTTTTTAAAGACAAGGTCTAGTGCTCGCTTCAGCAGCACACATATTAAAGACAAAGTTTGCCATGTAGTGCAGTCTGGGCTTAAACTCACTATGTAGTCCAAGCTGGCCTTATACTTGCACCATTAGACCCAGCTAATACTTTTATGTTAGAAATATACTACTTTTAATTTTGCATTAGACTGACCTCAATAGGGTCTCCTTTCATTTATAGCTGTTTTCTCTACATATAAAGTATAAAAATTATGAAAGCCAAGCCAGGTATAGTGGCACATGCCTATATTCCACACTCTATAAGGCTGAAACAGGAAGATCTCAGTTTGAGCACTACCAGGACAACTGCCAGACCCTGTTGCAAAATAAAAAAAATAAACATTGTAAAAGGGCTGAGAATGCAGCTCAACTCTCAGTAACAAGGGAAACCCAAAGAATTATTGAGACAAAAATTCCTAATTAAAGATCATCTAAAAGGCCTGTTATTGAAGAAGGTAGGAAAGTGAATTTTGAGATTTGAGGGAACCAATTCCAGTTTTTTACAGGCAGTAGCTTGTGGCACATGCCACAGAACTCAGCACACAGTGACAGTTAACATCAGTTCTTTCTTCCCTTTGCACCCTTCAGTGACACCATCATTTGCAGCAACCTTCTAATTCTGCCACTGCTTCATTAATTTAAGATTTAAAAAGTGACGACAATGACAACAGCCAGTGTGCTCACCATTCCAACCTGGTCAATGGTTTTCTGAACTCTGTCCAAAAGGATAGAAATAATCTCAGGGTGCACAGCTGTGATGGCCCCCAAAAGCTCTCGACCAACTTTTGAAAAAGTCTCTCTGGTGGACCGGCTGACGTAAGATACCTAAATGGGAGTGGAGAGATGGCACTTTAATACCGATTATAAATCAGAACAGATTCCATAGTTTTTTCAAACATGAAAAGAATCTCACAGTAAGCCTCAGTTCAAACTATATTCAGAAGATGTCAGAAACTCCAGAGAGCAAACTGACAGCAAACTGGGCGGAAGAAAGGGACTGCAGGAAAATGTCAACTATTCACAACAATAGCATCAAGTGCTGGATTAAAACATGCATCCAGAGGGCCATGGTGGAACACACCTATAACCCTTTCCCAGCTACCCCCGTGGGGGGCAGATGACAACAAAGAGGACCACTTAAGGATAGTGCAGAGAGCCCGGGCAACATAGCAAGATGCTATCTCAAAAGAAAATAACAGTTTGTCAGGAGTAATGAAACAGTCCCTTCGGTGTGAAAGTTTTTCTAGCTTTGAAGAAATTGCTAAAATGATGAAAATCATAATTCATTTCATGGAAATGCATGGTTTACAATCTACTCATGTCAATGGTTAGCATTTTAAAAATACAATAAAACAGAACAAAAAAATAACAGAAAATAAAAGGAATAAAAAACCTAAGAATGCACTAGAGAGTAGACATGGTGGTGCATGTTTATAATTCTCATTACTAGCCCACAGTGCTGTTTCTTTTCTCTTTTTTTAAAGATAAAGTGTATCAGTCGCTTTCCATTCCCTGAGCAACAGACCACCAGTTAGAGAAAGAGAGGTTTATTTTAGCCTACAGTTTTGGCCTACAACTGGCTGGCTCCAAGACAGAAACACACAGGAAAAGTGCCTGGTCTCAGCCCCCCGCACAGCTGGGGCTAACAGACAGACACCACCACGCCCAGCCATATATTTTCTTTTCTAATGTAACATGGTAAATTCATAGCAAATTAAACTAAAACTCAGATTTTTCAATTTTAAATTTAATATCCTTTCTACCATCTCACATAAATTGGTTTATAGGCCCTGTTTCAATGTTGCTGGCAGGGATGGAGAAGTGGAAAGTAAAAGGGAGACAGTAAGAGAAACAGTATAGAAACCATACATACGTAAGTAAGTGCCTACCTGTGCCATGTTGTCTATTCTTACAAAAACTAAAGTAGCAATGTCAGACAGTACAGAGAAAGTATAATTCATACTTTTAAAACTTCCTATAGCAAAACAGAGTTCCTTTGATTCTCTAGCCCCTTCCATATACAGACAATAAGCCATACTTTTAAAAAAATATCTAAAGAAATGGACAACTCAAAACATTTAATTTACAGAACTTCATATTCCAACCTCATATATCTCCAGAACAATAATTTTTATGAAGTCTTCATCCACATTGGTTCTTCTGGCCTGAGCCATCTGAGCAAAGGTAGTTAGAAGGCAAATTTCTTCAGAGCTATTCATAGAAGAAAGGTACTTCTCAAAGTTCGCAAAATGTTCTGGGTCTGCAAGTTCATATCAAGAAATTAGCAGAAAATGAATAAATTTATATACTTTAATTACTCTTTCAGAGAGAAAGGCTATTAAGAAATATTTAAAGATTCAAAAGGTCCTCTACAAGTATGAGGAAAAAAGCTGGACAATATGGCCCCTGAAATTCCAACAAACTTTTTTTCTTTCCAACAAACTTTAAATATAATGTAGCCTCCGAGGAGACATTTAACATCTCCAAGCCTCAGTTTTTTTGTCAATTACAAAAGGTTATTCCAGAAAATTAAATGATATGTCACCAGTAAAGAACTATGTGTGGAGCCTGGGAGATGGCTCAGTGGAATAAGTGCTTCCCCAGCAAGCACAAGGGCCTGAGTTCAATCCACGGTTCTGCCAAAAAAAAAAAGAACTTTGTGAACTGCAAAGCACCACAACTGTCATCAGGTGAATCTCCTTCAAAGGCATACTCTTGACTTCACAGGCAACCTGAAGACCCTCAGTAATTGTCAATCACAGGAATGAAGACACTAGCAATGAACTGTCTCAGCTAGCAAATGGCATAGTATAGAATCCCAAATAAAAGATAACCGCCTTAAATGAATACTAAAAACAAAAAAACTAGTCACAACCATGACTAAAACACTGACATATACAATGTTTTGTCTAGCTCTTAAAGGCTGCTGTGAAAATAATATTTTGTCATTAGGAGGCAGTATGAACTTGGTGATACATAACAGAAAACTGGGTATTGTAAAAAGAAAATTGTAGAAAGGAAAAAAAAATCTAGTCCATTTAAAAAATATGTTCCTATTTCAAAAAAAAAAAAAAAAGAAAACAAAATTTAAAGATGCAAAATTAATATATGAACATTGAATGCAAAGGCCCTCAAGGTTTAAACCTAATTAGGAAAATGAAATTTCTCTACTATAACCTGTGAGCCAACTGATAAAGGCTGTAAGACTGGAGAAGATCAAAGGACTCCAGGAGCCTAGAATCCAGAATGACAGCTTCCTGCTTAGGATCTGAAGGTCTACAGTAAGACCAGGCTGTTACTTCCTCCTCCTGGTTTAAAATTACTTCAGTTATAGCACTGGGCTCTTGAACAGCCACAATGCACAACATAGGCATTGCAGATGGGTAAGTACTCAATGGAAGAAGGTGGTTTTGTGAAGAGACCTAACTAAGACTAAACTATGCAAGGTGGTGCTGCTAACCATCCCAGGCACTGCCAAAGGAAAAGTCTGCTTTCTGTGTTGCACTGTTTTATCTCCACGTGAGCTGCCAAGGAGCAGACAAAAGCTGTGAAATGCTCTCACCTGGCTCACTGGCAAGCCTACTGCAACTACAGGAACAAAGTAAAGCAAGCACCTCTCCAGTGCAGTACAGAAACATTTTATGAAGCAGAACGTAAGAGTTGAGATTACCTCTGTACAGAATAACAAAAGTGGATTCATGAAGAACACCAAAACCAAATGGGGGGTGGGGGGAGGGGACTAGAAACAAGAGTACACCAATCTAGATAGAGACAAAAATGTAGACAAAAAAAAAAAAAAAAAAAAACTATGAAAGTCTGCAAAAAATACTTTGAAAATAGCAGCAGTTCAGGCCAAGGAGATAGCTCAATGGCATAAGCGCCTGCTGGTAAGCAGAAGGTCCTTAGTTGGATCCCTGGTGCCAAACAAAAAAACAAAATAGAAACTCAACAATCTTTAAGATGTTTTAAGTTTGTGATTTTCTTTTACACATTTAAAAGCTTGAATAGAATCATGTTTTTTGTCTGTTTGAAAGCCTTGTTAAGTCATGTATCTGTAATCTCAGCAATCCAGAAATAGATGAAGCAAGGAAATTTCAAGTTCAAACCCATGCTGGGCAATTTAGCGAGGCTCTACTTCAAAATTAAAAATTAACAAAAATAGATAAAGAGGCTGGAGATGTAATCATTGTGAAATTCCTGGCTGTGTTCTCCCCAATATTTTAAATATACAAGGTAACAGATCCAAGTAAATACTATTTTTTTTTAATATTGTAACAAAAGTAAATAAACACCCTGTAGTTCATTGTCAAGATTAGAACTTTATCACATTTTCACCAAAATTATTATTTTAAAGTAAATTTAAGGGCCGGGGTGATGGCTCAGTAGAATAAGCACTTCCCTGGCAAGTGCAAGGGTGAGTTCAATCCCCGATTCCGCAAAAAAAAAAGTAAGTTTATCTACCTCTTTACCTAATTTATAAAACAATAAAAAAAGAGATTAGTGGAGTATGAGGGCACAAAACTTTGACAAATTTCCAGACAATAAATATAAGCTTGTTAATCTAACTAGAATAATTTCATATATACAAAAAGTGATTCCTAGGGTTGGCCTGATAGCTCAGTGCACTAAAGCGCCTGCTTAGGCAGAGGCAGCAGGAAGGGTTCAATCCCTGGTGTGCCGTGCCAGCCCCGACCCAGGGTGTGCCTGAAATGGTGATTGAGTCTGGGGATGGTGGCGTGCGCCTGTAATTCCAGCACTTGGGAGGCTGAAAAACAGGAGAATCGCTATGAGGCTGATCTAGTAGGGAGACCCTTGTAGACCCTGTCCTAAATACAAAAGAAAAAAATAATAATAATAAGTGATTCCTAAATCAGGAAATTCACTGTTATATTTATTGATGTACTGTTTGGGACTAACCAAATTTAATTTTAGGGGCTGGAGAGATGGCTCAGTAGAATAAGTGCTTGCCTGGCAAGCACAGGGCCCTGAGTTCAATCCCCAGTACTGCAAAAAAAAAAAAAAAAAAAAAGCAAATTTAATTTTAGATATGCTAGCTTATACTTAATAAATACCAACAATGAAACAGTGCCTTGAATTTCAAAAACAGCAGAGTAACACATTCTCTTAGTTCCTCCAAAAAGAAAAGAAAGCTATGAAGATACATGCAAAGGCAGGGAAAGCTGGAGCTGCCTGCTCCTCCAAAGCTGTACCTTGGAGCTGCCTTCTGCACTCAGCAGGCGGGGGGGCAGGGCCAAGATGCTGCAGGTTCCCATGCTCCACCTGGTGCATGAGGTAGAAGAGCTTCCAGAGCATCTGTGCAGAGAGCGTCCCGAAGGGCATTTCAGACATAAAAAGCCAAATGCCAAGTCTGTGTTTTAAAAAAGTGGAATTTTGAATATTACTTAGCTTCACCATACTAAGAAAGCAGAAACAAACCTTCAGTTCTTACAGATAAACAGAAATTTTACATCACAGTGCCACAACTTTTCTAGCATGCCTTGGTAATAAGCACCTCCGTGATGGAAAACAAGAATACCAAATATTTATGAAACAGTCAGTGTACATCAGGTACTGCTAATCTTCTGATGGCCATGTCACATATATATGAAATACACACACACAAAGAGGTTAAGCATCCCTTATCAAAAAAAAATAAAAATAAAAAACTTGGGACCAGAAATGTTTCACATTTTGGATGGGGGGTGGAATATTTCCACATGTGTAATGAGATGTATCAAGCATAGGAACCAAATTTAAACCCCAAATTCATTTGCTTCATATATACCTTATCACATAGCCCTGCAAGTTAACTTTATACAATATTTCTGGTGTACCTGTTTTGACTTCAACCTATCATCACAGATGAAATAGTTTTCTACTTGTAATATGTCAGCACTAAAAAGTTTCAGATTTTGGACACTTTCAGATTAGGATATTCAATCTGCGCTTACTAACAACTCATTCCATTCCATCATAAATAAAATCAAAGCAATAGCTATTGATATTATTCCAAATTTATACATGAGGCTACAAGACAGAATAGCAAAAGGCAGAGATGGTTTTGAATCAGAGATTCTTTAAAGATCTGAGGTACTGTACCTACATGGGATATGTGCTAAGCTGTGTGCATGTTCACCTGTATACACACAAAGACAGATGAGCAGTGGGTGAGAGAGGAATCAAAACTGTCCAGTGGCTCCTCACTGACTACTGAATAAAGTTCAAACCTCTTCATTCCGATTCAGAGGTTCCCACATTACAGTCTGGCTCATATTTCTCTGCATTCCAAATGGTAAAATACACTGACAATGTCCTACAACTCCTGGCATTGTCCTTCATTCAGGACACCTTCATCTGAACTCCACCTCTGCATTACCACAGAACTCCACTCATACCTGATCTGGGCATTACCGTACCTTCTACTAGTTGTTCTCACATTTTAGTAGACAGAAAAATCACCAGGAGACTGTATAAAATAGATTCCCAAGCGCTACCTAGACATCCTGATTTTGTAGGTCACAAGAATTTGCACCTTTTATGTTCATCTTGGTGACTCAGACTCATGTGATTCTTTTCCTTTTCTTTCCTTCCTGATCCTGGGGACTGAACCCAGTGCCTCACGAATGCTGCACAAGTGCTCTGCCACTAAGCTATATGCCCAAGGTTTGTTTTTTTTAACCTTATTTTGAGACAAAGTCTAAGTTGCCCAGGCTGGCCTCAAGCTTGCAATCTTCCTGCTTCAGCCTCCCAAAAAGCTGGAATAACAGGCATATACCACTATGCCTGGCTTAAGACTTCACTCTTTCCCCCCCCCCATAATTTTATTGATAAACAGCAATGAGACAGTTTCAAATCAAATTGGTAGGACAATTTCAATAATTAACACATTGCATACATTCTTCCTAGTGGTTAATTGCTGTACAAGATGCGGACATGATATCCTATTTACAAACACCACTAGAACAAATCACTCTATTCATTAAGAGAATGTAACTATATATCTGTCCTAACCACTTTGAATATACAGATACAAAATGTACATTCATCTGGATCCCCTTTTTTTGTTAAGTTTCGTTATTTGAATATTATAGGTGTGTAAACTCAGCAAAATATTCTAAAAGAGTCCAGTAGCCCATAATAGTTTTGGGTCGTCCGCATGACTGGCAATGTCAGAAATTGTTGACCTGAGTCCCCCACAGTTCAACATAACAGCATGGCTTTACTTCTTATATTTCATTTTTATACTTTTCTGCTGGATGGTTAAGACCAAGGTAAAGCAGGACCTATGCAACAAGAGTTGTAGCTTTTGGGTCTGAGAAGGTCAGTGAAATCCCCTCAGGATTTATCCTGAGATCCTGTACCTCAGATTGTAGAACCTTTGTCAGTGTCAGCCATGTGGATGAGTCACGGCCAATGCTAGGCCAATGTGCTCTCTGTGAAAGCTTGAGAGAATGTTTTCTCTCCATGTGACTCTCCTTAAGGACTTCACTCTTAAAGCACACTGTGAGAAACACCTTAAGTACTGTAATTTACAAACACAGACTAGCCTACAAATAATTTGAGAGCAGAAACCAAGTCTTATCCCATTTTTATTTTAACCAGTTGATAACCAGAGACTTGTATGTTAATTATCTGCTACCTAAAGCAGTAACTCAAAAAAAACTAACACAATAGATGTTTATTAAAATTCCATGTGAATATTTTCACTTTTAAAGAAATCTTTAAAACACATTCAAAACCGGTGTTTATTTTCAGTATACCTAGAAACTAACAAATTACAAAGCTAACTAACTTATTAAGAGAAAAAATTTTTTTAAAATAGTATTTGCCTAATCTTCTATGAAACTAGGCCATGGGCTGGTGAGATGGCTCAGTGTTCGAAAGCACCTACTTAGAACAAGCTTAGCAAAGCACAGGGACCTCTGTTCAATCCCCAGCACCACATGCCAGCCAGCCCCGCCCCCTGGTGGGCTGAGCTGGCCACACACACACACACACACAAATAAATAAATAAATTAGGCCAGCTACAATGGCCAAGGCCCGCAGTGATCTAGGAATGGAACAGTTAAGACTCCTGGGTAAGAGGTAAAGAAACTGTCCTAAGGTTTCTGTTTTATTAATTAACTATGCAAATCCTTATAGGACTTGATGCTATAACATAACAGATCCCAAAATAATGAATAGAAATTATAGAGGACAAAGAGTGACCTCACAAAACAGGATACAGTTCAGTCTACATGGCAGACAAGCAACAAATGTGGCTTAGGTTTTTGTTTTCTGTCGTTTGGTTTGGATTTAGGCTAAGAGAATTATTGTCAGTGGCTAGCCCACGTCTCCTAGAGAAGAGCAGTGTCTTGTGGCAGAACCTGCTGTTACACATGGTCAGAGGCTCAGGAAAGGCAAAGAGGCTGCACGGCTGTACTCGGGCTATGCCTGAAATTTATCCTGCTGACAGAAGCAGCCCAAACAGAATTCTGTTTGGGAGAACTGGGGAGACAGCTCAGTAGAATAAGCACTTGCCTGGCAAGTACAAGGTCCTGAGTTCAATCCCTAGTACCTCAAAAAAAAGAAAAAAAGATTTCTGTTTGGGAACAGATAACAAACATTTACACAACAAGATGGGACCGAGGCTGGGTGTAGTGGCACATGCCTGTAATCCCAGTACTTGGGAGGTAGAGGCAGGAGGATCACTGCAAGTTTAAGACCAGCCTAGGCTACAAAGTGAGTTTTAGACCAGCCTAAACTACACGGCAAAACCCTATCTCAAAAAAAAAGGAAAAAAAAAAGAAAGAGAGACCAAGAACTGTGTGACATTTCTATATTGTAAAGCCCTAACGGAAAGATGAGCCAATGATGTACCAAGTGCTATACTAAGTGTCAACTGTCCCTCAGAGTAAGCATAAAAATTCAGCGTACAAGGATGAATTCATCCTTGTTTTGCCCTCTCCCAAAATTTCAGGGGTGGCAAAACTGACACATCACATTAGAGATGTTTTAAAACAGAAAGAAGCCTAAAACATCATTTCAGCATACAAGGAATATACTACATATAGGGAAACTAAAGGGTTAAAGATTTACCCAAGCTTAAAAAAAAAATAGAAATACACGAAGGTAATACTATACAAGCCCTCTATAATCAATGACTCTCACACTAATCATTTATCTTATCTTTTGCAGCACCGGGGATTGAACACAGGACCTTATTCTACTGAGCTATCTCCCGGCCCCACTCTATAATCTTTTACTAGCCAGAAAGGCTCACCTGTTATCATGGCGTATCTTACCTTTTGGCTTTCAGCACATGCAGGACAGCTCTCAAAAACAGCTCATCAAATTCAACCTGTAGCTTCTCCAAGGAATAGGGCTGCAGGGCCACTCCCATGCCTTCATTATGGCTCACGAACTGTGCCCAGTGGTCACTCACATAACCAAGGGTCATCCTGAGCATGAAAAAAGACAATTCAGAGCTTTCCTTTCACTCACCAGTATCTGCATGTTTACCTCACCTTTGTAAAGTTAATGCATTTAAACATAGATTTATTGAGCACCTATTATCTCCCTTGTTACAAAGGTATAATGAGGAGAAAGAAAGTAACTTCCTGCCTAGAGCCTGCATTTATTGAAAAGCAAACACACAATGTAAAACACGGTTTGTCACACAGCTGCTAAGTGACAATGAGAAAAACAAAGCAGGAAATAAAGCATATCTGAAGATGAAAAATGTGCAGCAATAAGGGTATCCCCCTTGGGAGTCAGAGAGGTCTCATTAAAAAGAACATATGGAAAAATGCTCTGCAGCTGAAAAGAATAAGAACATGTGACAACTACACAGAAGACAAAATCAAAGAGAGAATAACTATAACACTATAATATTAAAACACGCAAATATTTACATAATAATTGGCCCCAGCTTTGTGACCTACAAAATCAGGTGGGGCTTAAAAGTCGGTATTTTATAGACAGCCTCTGAATGACCTTTCTGCACACTTCAACATGGGAACCACAAATACAAGTTATGGTAATGCCAAAGTCAGGTACGAAGAGAGTCCTACAGCAATGCTAAGAACAAATAACGATGGCTGAATAGTGATCTTAGAACAATGACAATGTCTTTTAGTTATTAAGGAATAAAATGGCAAAGCACAGTCCTAATAAGCATGCAACAATACAACATACAATTGAGCTAAAAAACAAATTTTATATGTGGCCTTATTTATTAAGCACAACCAGAAAATGAATAAATGAATGGATTTCTAATAACAAACAAACTTTCAGCTTTTAAGACATTAAACCTTCAGGTCACCAACCATCCCTCCTTCCACAATCTCATTTTCCTTACCATTCACCAAAGGTTTGTTCCACACTTAAAAGTGATACCCAGCCTATGAGGAGCCTGTAATCCTTTACCTGGCCTCATAAAGCTGATAAATACATAACTAAAATAATTGAATAAAAATCTCAGTGCTGAAAACAAAAGTAGGGAAAGTTTTATAGTTCTATGGGTAATTTTTCTGGAGGTGGAAAAAATAATAGCTATGTGTATACTATAGACAATGTTCAGTAAAGACTGCTAATAAAACAGAAAGGGTGAGGACAATACAAAATTAATTTAAAGAAAAACAGTACAGGGCTGGGGAGATAGCTCAGCAATCTAAGCGCCCACCTGGTAAGGATAAGGACCTGATCCCTGATAATCCCTGGTACAACCAGCATGGTGGTACACACCTATAATCCCAGCACTGGGGAGGCTAAGACAAGAGGATCACAAGTCTAAACTGCATAGTAAGATCCTGTATCCAATAAATAAGTAATTCAAAATATATAAAAAAAGAAAAGAAAAAGCAGTACACATCCTCAAAATAAAACTGTATTTTGAACTACTCACCTTTCACTCAATTACTATATAATAATGCTTTCCCAGTTCAAATACAGTGGCCACTGAGTAAGGCTTTGCAATTCCAAACATTTTATATACTATAAATTTGAACAAGAATTAGAACTGCTTAGGCAGGCACAGAGACTGGAAACCCCATGTGCTGTACTGGCCTGCACACTGAGACTGCAACTGAGACTGGGCATGGTGGCACACGCCTAAAATCCCAATGCTTGGGAGGCTGAAAAAAGAAGGATCACTACAAGTCTGATCTGTGTAGTGAGACTCTGTAGACCCTGTACTAAATACATTAAAAGAGCAAAAAACAAAATAAAGACATGAAAGAATCATGACCAATTTTTAACAGCTAAAGTTCAATTCCAAAGCAAAAGCAGGGGCTGGGGAGACAGCTCAGTAAAGTAAGTGCTTGCCTGGCAAGCTCAGGGTCCTGAGTTCAATCCCCGGCACTGCAAAAAAAAAAAAAAAAAAAGAGCAAATTGGTCAAGCAATGGCCGTGACTCATCCTCATATCAGACACTGACAAAAGTATGTACAAAGGGTGGTACAGGGCTACAAGATAAATCCTGAGAGTACTTGGCTGACCTTACCAGATACAAAAGTTACATTTCTTGTTATATAGGTCTTGCTATATCTTGGTCTTAACCATCCAGCAGAAAAGTATAAAAATGAGGTATATAAAGTAAATTCATATTAATACGATGAGCTGTAAAAGGCTCAAGT